TAAGACCGGGATCGTTCCCACAGAGAAGTCTTCTTTAGCGAATTTGGAATAGATGGTAAGTACATAGCACGGCCTTCAAGCGGCCAACTTGGAGTTTGATTCGATTAACGAAATTGAAATTGAAATTAACTAAATTAAAAGCGGTCAAGTCATAGGGATTGATTAGCCCACGACTTAGCCGTCAAACGGTTTCTTCATCTAACTTATGAGTGGACCGAAACCGTCCGGATTCCACTTGAAGAATTAACAGCTGAAGACTACTTGTAACTCGACTCAAAGCATTAATTCAAACTGAACTCATTTAACGCAAGTGAGAGACGAAAATGGATCGTTCGCACGCGTAAGATTATCAAGCACGTAGCATGGGGCGATAGACTTCATTGATCAAAGGAGCCACCGACCCCATGATCAAAGCTAGAAATCATGGGTTTAATTCATTCAAAACCTTGAAATCGAGCTAAAGTTTAGGCGAAACCGTTTAAACGACTAATCCATAGGGTGCATCTCACCCCATGACCAAACCAATTAACTACTCACTCATAATAAAAAGACTAGAAATTATGCTAAGGAAGGAAAACATGATTAACCGATAGAAACGAAAATAAACTTGATTTTATAGAAGATCTAACTTGTAGCTACAACATTAACACTCGAGAATATAACAAACAACTAGTACCTTGAAGAGTTCTTGAAGAAACTAACTTGAAAAGCTTAAGAACAACAATGGAGTTCCTAAGAAAGCAAAAAGAAAGCTAGGCCTAAAAAAGACTAGAAATGGCCATCCCCTCCATAAATGGCATACAAGCCTATTTATAGGGCTTACAAAATCAGCCAAACAATGGACAAAAAGGCCCCCAAAATATCCCAAAAACATGCCAAAAGTGGAAACTTTCCATAAAAGGAAAGTTGAAATGTTCAGCAAAAGGTGCTGGCCGAAGGGGAAAGGTAGCGCTACCTCAAAACATGGTAGCGCTACCATTCTCATTTTTGGCTACTGGAGTGCCATGGTAGCGCTACCCAAAAACATGGTAGCGCTACCTTCTTGACAGATTTTTTGAGAAACTTCACGGGCTCGCTCCGGATGCTCCCGAACTCGGATTTGAGTGTTCTTTGAACCGATGGAAAGCTCGTCGAATCTACTTTCTAACCCAAGTGGTTTGGATCAAAAGTACTTTGTACATCAAAATATATGACAGATCTACCCTCAGCTGGTCGGAAGATGAGTTGCTTTGGTAAAATCCTCACTTCTCCTTCAATTCCCTTAACCCTTGGGCGATCCGAGTAACCTCCAAACCATTTCTTCATGACTCTTCGGGCACTACAACGTGGTGGCACGTGGCCTTGAGCACTTGGTTGCATCCGGAGCATTCCTTGGCGTTCAAAACCGCCTTATTAGCACGTTTAACCTGAAATACACAAAAACCTACCTTACGTGCAATATCACAATAAAAACGACAACATATATGTACAAACACAATATACTAGAGGACTGAAGCACCAAGAATATGCATTATTGGGTGCTTATCACACCCCCCAACTTGAACTTTGCTAGTCCCTAGCAAACTAAAACAAAACATATTAACTAAGCTATGCAATCTTCTCAAAACGAAGATACAAAAATTATGCTCAACTACTAGCACTAGGCAAGAGTCCAAACCACCCCTTCAAATCCGATCACGTGCAATTCACACACAAACATGCCATGAACTAGGATGAGCAAACTATGCCGTATTAGAGTAGTCAAGCATAGATGCACCACAACGAGTTTCGACTCCAAACTCACAAGGATACCCTCTTATTCGACTTTTCACACATTAAGATATAAGATACATCCCATGACAACCGCTAGCGAGTATATGCAATAGTAAGAGACAAAATGCTACGCATGCTATGAAAAGAGCGCTTTGAACGAAAGGAAAGCTAATTATTGACAAGTATGGAAAGATTAGGAATATCACAACTTAAGTAATAATAGATATCAACCATGCATCAAACGGAGTTAGCAAGCGTACAAAAGATCAACGGAGGACTTTATTAGCTTTTAACGACCTTGGATACAAAGAGAAAGGGACTACAAAATTGTAGTGGCCATATACTTGTATGGTTCATCTACCCTTGGCCACTACCAACCCTAAACTACCCAAGGCATGGCCACATATCGGCCAAACACCAAACAAAGTTACGAAAAGAAATAAAGAAAAACTAGTACCACCGACTCTACCACACACAATCATCATCCTCATCCAACTATCACAGTATTGAGCATCGAGCTCCCCCTTTCCATCGGACTCTTTCTCATCCGGAATGTATGGTAGCTCGAATGTCTAACCAATCCTCTCATCATAGTATTCAACCCTCTTTTGAATATGTTTTTGCTCTTTATAGCATTTCTTTGATTTTTCTTTTCTTTTCTTTGAGGAGTAGGGTTATTTGAATTGAGATTTGAAGTGAGAGAGATTGGAGGGGCCAATTTTGAGGACTTTGGAGAAGGAGATGAAAATTTGGGATTTAAGCTTTTGTAGTGGGGGAGGAGAGATAGGAAATCATGTACCAACTCTTCGCCTTTTTACATCTCAACCACTTTTATCGCAATCATACCACCCCTAAACCTCCTTGAAACATTGAAATACACTTCCACATAACCCTCCAAACATTCGGTTTTCTAAGTTTGACAAATGGAAGAGACTCGGACTATGGTTCAAAATAAGGACAAGGTGACTCTTATGTGGTTTAATCAAACAAAAATGCCTTGAATCATTTCTTATGTACGCTAACAACTCCAACAAGATGCAAGAAAGATATATACACTACTCAAGCATGAACAAAAGATATTATTTACGCAAGTGCGAGAAATGAGAACAAAAAGCATGTGATGCTTAAGAAACGAATCTCTACTCTACCGATGCACAACACTTGACTTGACTTTTAGGCTTAATTTGTTCAACAAAATTCATGTATATGCATGTGACATGGATTCAAACACATAACCAAATTCAACGGGATCCATGACTCTTGCCATTGACACAATTGAGCATATTTGAAGTATCTAGCATGCGAAATCACTACTAACAAGAGAGGATTGCAAGTAAAAACAAAAAATTTAAAACTTTAACAAAAACCATATGAGACAAGTATAGCATATATATCCCTCCCCCCAACTTAAACGATGCTATGTCCTCATAGCATGAAGACAATTGAAATGAAATACAAGAGAGAGAGTAAACGTACCTTCCAACCAACTCTTCACGCGATTGAACGAGTCATACTTTTCTTCCCATTTTCCAAGTGAGAAACGGGTGGCTATACCAGACCATCAAAAAAAGAAAAGAGAAAAGAGAAAAACAAAAATTTGGAATGTCTAGTTCAAACGTTTTTAGCCAAACGTGGATTTCGAACATTGATTGTGCCATTAAGAGCTATGACCTTGAGCACATCACTCCACTTCAAAATCTTGGTTAAAAATTGAATTCGACCATGCCACAAAAATAGATACTTTGAGTAGCGCATTTGCCGAATTCGTTTCAGACATTTAAGTTCCACCAAGTGCGCATTCCAAACTAAATTGATGTTCAAAGAGTTGACAAATTCCACAATATAAGGATGGTAAACAAAATCAAAGTCATCAACACCTAGAAAATCAAGTAGTTCCACTCCTACAAAATCTTGAAATGGTGGAGACTCAACAAGAGTGCCAACAACATCTACAGAATTCTCATGAGGAGAACATTGGACATTAAACTCATCACGGCATCCTAACCCTGAGGTTTTTTCCAAATCTAAACCAAGCTCTTCAAGAATGATAAGTGGCTCTACTTGCTCGTTTTTCCTCGCATCAGGATTTGAATCCTCAAGGGTAGGAGACCCACTCTTGGTCTCGTACGCTTTGTCTTGCTTTTCTAACAAGGAGTATAAATAGTCTACCTCTGCGTCCATCTCTGCAGCAGTGAGAAGTTTCTCCCCTAGAACATCACATAAAGGGAGATCCACGGGGGGAGAACATTGGACAACAGGTTCATCATTAGGCTCATCTTCCCATTCAGACTTTGTGGAGCTTTCATTAGCGATAGCGAAACTTACATCTTTAACAAAGATATGTGGCTCAATTTCCTTTTCCCCAACATTTATGGTGGCATCTTCAACATTGACATCATAAACCCAAGATTCTGAATTTTCAGCTAATTCATCAAAGTAATCCCAACTCTCATTAGCGGTTCTATCCAAAAATGCACCATCAAACATCCGTTCTACAAGCTGACGCGTTGTAGAATTTAAACTATCATAGAAGATGGGAATAAGGTGCCTTATTTCATAGCTATGTTGTGACCAATAGAGTATGGGATATTTAAACCGCCACCAACAACATGCAAAAGACTTGTCATCAAATTGATAAAAATCTACAATTTCACGTAGCAGCATATGAGTCTCATGCATTGGAGAAAACTTTTTGAAAAATTGTTCTTCTATATCTTGCCATGTAAGTATTGATCTTGGTTTCAATGAATAAAACCAACTCTGAGCCATGTCTTTCAAAGATGATGGAAATATCTTAAATAAGACCTCTTTATCGCTCATGCAAAGCTCCTCAAGTTCTATGATATGCGCACATGGATTTTCAGAGGCTAAGCCATGAAAATGGGGCAACACTTGAAGCATGCTTGACTTAACACTTAAAACATTGGCGGAATGGGTGACTATGCAAGAGGGTGTAAAAATTTGATTGGGATAAAGGTACTCCCGCATAGTCTTGGGGACTATTTCCTCATTGGCCCCCGCCATTCTACTACAAAGATAGGAACATAAATTAAAACATGTTAGAGGGGCTATGCCGCCACCACGATATATAGACAATAAAAGAAAAAGACAATCGATACTTAATCTAGCTTCGTTACACCTCAAGTCGAATTGGTGGCACAGTTAGAGGTATCCGCTAGAGTAAGTACAAGTTGCTCAAAACAAAATAAAGCGGGATACTTACAATGGTTTGTCAAACCTCCAAATAAGCTAAAATAAGAATTGTAGTATAGTGGTAAGTATTCCCGCCTGTCACGCGGGTGACCCGGGTTCGATCCCCGGCAACGGCGCCAAAATTTGCTTAACTCCGCAAATTACCCTCCCAATAAGGCAAAGGGCTAGGTCGTTGATAGCAAATAAATCCGATAAGACCGGGATCGTTCCCACAGAGAAGTCTTCTTTAGCGAATTGGGAATAGATGGTAAGTACATAGCACGGCCTTCAAGCGGCCAACTTGGAGTTTGATTCAATTAACGAAATTGAAATTGAAATTAACTAAATTAAAAGCGGTCAAGTCATAGGGATTGATTAGCCCACGACTTAGCCGTCAAACGGTTTCTTCATCTAACTTATGAGTGGACCGAAACCGTCCGGATTCCACTTGAAGAATTAACAGCTGAAGACTACTTGTAACTCGATTCAAAGCATTAATTCAAACTGAACTCATTTAACGCAAGTGAGAGACGAAAATGGATCGTTCGCACGCGTAAGATTATCAAGCACGTAGCATGGGGCGATAGACTTCATTGATCAAAGGAGCCACCGACCCCATGATCAAAACTAGAAATCATGGGTTTAATTCATTCAAAACCTTGAAATCGAGCTAAAGTTTAGGCGAAACCGTTTAAACGACTAATCCATAGGGTGCATCTCACCCCATGACCAAACCAATTAACTACTCACTCATAATAAAAAGACTAGAAATTATGCTAAGGAAGGAAAACATGATTAACCGATAGAAACGAAAATAAACTTGATTTTATAGAAGATCTAACTTGTAGCTACAACATTAACACTCGAGAATATAACAAACAACTAGTACCTTGAAGAGTTCTTGAAGAAACTAACTTGAAAAGCTTAAGAACAACAATGGAGTTCCTAAGAAAGCAAAAAGAAAGCTAGGCCTAAAAAAGACTAGAAATGGCCATCCCCTCCATAAATGGCATACAAGCCTATTTATAGGGCTTACAAAATCAGCCAAACAATGGACAAAAAGGCCCCCAAAATATCCCAAAAACATGCCAAAAGTGGAAACTTTCCATAAAAGGAAAGTTGAAATGTTCAGCAAAAGGTGCTGGCCGAAGGGGAAAGGTAGCGCTACCTCAAAACATGGTAGCGCTACCATTCTCATTTTTGGCTACTGGAGTGCCATGGTAGCGCTACCCAAAAACATGGTAGCGCTACCTTCTTGACAGATTTTTTGAGAAACTTCACGGGCTCGCTCCGGATGCTCTCGAACTCGGATTTGAGTGTTCTTTGAACCGATGGAAAGCTCGTCGAATCTACTTTCTAACCCAAGTGGTTTGGATCAAAAGTACTTTGTACATCAAAAGATATGACAGATCTACCCTCAGCTGGTCGGAAGATGAGTTGCTTTGGTAAAATCCTCACTTCTCCTTCAATTCCCTTAACCCTTGGGCGATCCGAGTAACCTCCAAACCATTTCTTCATGACTCTTCGGGCACTACAACGTGGTGGCACGTGGCCTTGAGCACTTGGTTGCATCCGGAGCATTCCTTGGCGTTCAAAACCGCCTTATTAGCACGTTTAACCTGAAATACACAAAAACCTACCTTACGTGCAATATCACAATAAAAACGACAACATATATGTACAAACACAACATACTAGAGGACTGAAGCACCAAGAATATGCATTATTGGGTGCTTATCAACCCTTGGTTTCAATCTTATAACGACTGCTCCACGGGGTTAGGTTTAAGGTTTTAAGAGTTTCTAAATATCAGGTTCTTAAAAGAAAGTGCGTGCGATAACGTTCTTACACTGGTCCTACCCTATCTGACCATTATCTACCTAGAGAAAGGAAATTCTTATTCGACAGGTGCTCTATTTCGTACTAGGATTCTTCGTTTCGTTTGATCCACCAGCAATTGATAAAAGGGAACGACTCCTCTATCGCTTCTTCGTTTCATTTGATCCACCAGCAATTGATAAAAGGGAACGGCTCCTCTATCGCTTCCTTCTGATCGGAGTCAACGTTTGAATTTATAATTTCTCTGAGTCATAATCGCATCAGGTAAATAAATATTTATATGATATACTTAGGTAAGATATATCGTAGTTTTGGGGAAGCAATACCGTAAACGTTTAGCTATTCGGATTTACGTTCTCAGAACGTGGTCTACCCCATCTACCCAAGGCCGAGTGTTGAACCTATGCTCTGTACCATTTGTAACGCCCTGACTTTTCGGGCGCAAAATAAAATAATTTCTTAAGAAAATATTGCTAAATAAATATAATTTTTCAAAATAAAGATTTTGCTAATACAATCTCAAGATAGATTTACGGAATCAAAATACACCAACTTCAGAGCTGACTCTAATCTTGATACGAATCCTAAGCATCCTCGATCCTCGTTACTGATATTCGTTCCGTGTCGAACTGCATCATCGTTGAATCTCTTCCATTGAATCCTGCGCCCTCTAGCAAATTGATCGCCGAAGCAATCGATTTGCCAAGATACAGACGTATCCGTGAGTGATAAATCACCCAATAAAATAATCCAACCCAACTACCCCTCTTACAATACAGCTAGCAAGCAAACAAGATAATAATGATACGAATAAGTAAAACAGAGATTTTTCACATAAACCAGTTCATTACTATCCATTAACCTAACGTGTAATCCAACATCTCCCTACGAGATCTTTCCTCCCCCAACCGCTAGCCATGTTCGGTCCCATGAGATCACTTCCCTTTGCTGTCGTAGATAACCTAAGTTACAATACTACAACAAGGGGCCAGCTTATCATGCCTGAATCACAACTAGGGTTCGCCTATCTTATATACCACATCACAATCATCACTGGACACACGCCAGTACATCAATTTGTTCCACTGGACATATGCCAGGACATCAATTTATTCCACCGGACCTCGCCAGACATCAATTTATTCCATCGGACACACGCCAGACATCAATTTGTTCCATCGACCCACGCCAGACATCAATTTGTTCCATCGACCCACGCCAGACATCAATTTGTTCCACCGACTCTCGCCAGACATCAATTTGTTCCACTGGACCCACGCCAGGATATCAATTTGTTCCATTGGACTCAAGCAGACACCATCACAAAACATCACTATTGGACACACGCCAGGTTTTATCAACAAACATCACCGGGCTTACTTTTGCCAGGTTTTATCGTCACAAAACATCACTAGGCCATCCACCAGGTTTTATCGTCAACAAAACATCGCTGGACCCTTCGCCAGGTTTTAACATCACAAAATATCACTGGACCACCGCCAAGTTTTAACATCACAAAATATCGATAGGCCACCGCCAGGTTTTAAACAGAAAACATCTCCGGACTATCGCCAGGTTTTATCAACATAAACGTCACTGGACCACCGCAGGTTTTATCAAAACATCACCTGGACTATCCGCCAGGTTTTATATCATCTCCGGGCTACTGCCGGTTTTAAATCATCACATACATCACCGGGCTTACTCTGCCAGTCTTAAATCATCTCCGGGCTTACTCTGCCGGTTTTTAAATCATATCACAAATCTCATCAGATCTCAAATCACGCCTGCAGGCAACCTCTAAACAGAAAGAAACTTCACAATTTATCCATTACTTAGCATCGTCTACGTGATTTTTATTCTGCATACCACCCCATGTCTCTAGGGTCCAATCTAACATTCAAATTCAGTATCAACACAATATCATTCTCAATAATAATTAAAACGAATAACAAACAGATCAAAACAAACATTAGGTAATGCAATCACATGACTTTTTATGACTGGACCGTTGCCCTTAATCTTGTATGGCCAAAATATCAATAACAATGTAGGAAATTTTATATAAGACTTTAAAAATAATTTTCTAGGCTTTTATTAATTAATTATAAGTAATTAAGTCAATTAAACACTAATTAAATACATTAATTAGGTAAAAATATTAGAATAATTATCGTAACCTTAATAAAGGTCCTAACAGTCCTCTATAATAAGTTCGAGTGCTAAAAATTGGGTTTGAATGCTTATGGAATTATTTTAAATAAACAGATTAAATTAATAGGCAAAACAAGATTAAATAGACAATAAATAATTAACAATCGAAAATATATTTATATTTACAAAATAACATTCTGGGGCTGTGAAAAGTCTAAATAAAATTATTTGGAATTTTAAACCTTCTTTATAATATTTTATGGTATTATCATTAAGAAATAATGCTTAAATAATAATAAATAGTAATTCAAATAAATAAAATTTTATTTTAATAACATATCACCTTTGAACTGTCAGGAGTCTAAGAAAAATATTTTCGATACTAAAATATTTTTTGTAAGGTCGCTATTAATTTTCGTTTTATAACTTTAGTTAAAAATTAAATAAATAGCTAATAATATAAATTAACTACGAAATCAGCAAGTTATGACCTTTAACATGTTGGGAGTCTAGGAAAATAGTTTGGGTAATTATAGATTAGTTTATAAGGTCGTATTGATTTTTTGTTTACAAACGATTACACAATTACAAACAGAAATTTAATAAATATAAGATTAAATAAAAAAAAATTATGAAACTAACAAGGTATGAACTTTAGAATGTGGGTAACCTAGGATAAAAATTTCGGAGTAAAAATCTATTTTTAAAAGGTCGCAAAACCAATTCGATCTCAAAAACGAAACAGGCGCGCGTCTGGCCTAAGGGAGTTCGGTTTTTTTGATTTTTTTGGTACTTTTTCGATGCATGGGACTACGGGGCCTATTGGGTTATGTCTATAAACACTTAATATACTTAGAGAAGGCTTCGGATCGAATTATAATACCTCGAATCGGATTGGATTTGATTTCGATCGAAACTTGACAATTTGGAACGAAAGCTTCGGGTTTCTTGATCGGGGAACCTCGGGGCCGAATTGATTGATGTTTAGTGATGCTCTAGGTTGTAGAAAGAATTCGGGATGATCGGATTGGATCTTGGTTGGGTCTAGGTACGAAACCCACTTTTCTCTCTCTCTTTTCTCTCTTTAGAACTCCATGAATTGGAGCTTCGATTTCCTTCGATTTTTCTCTCTTTTCTGGATGAT